TTTCTTTCTTTCTTTCTTTTTCTTTCTTTCTTTCTTTCTTTCTTTCTTTCTTTCTTTCTTTCTTTCTTTCTTTCTTTTTCTTTCTTTCTTTTTCTTTCTTTTCTTCTCATTCATTCATTTCTGCTTGCCACCTGAAGGGTGCCTATAGCTCTTAGTTGATTTTCAGAGCCTTCTTGATCTTGGACAATGATCTGGGTTAAGTCTCAGCTCTGTCCACCTACACTTCACTGTTCAGGAAACTCTTCTGAACACAGAAATTCCTTGAATTATCATTACAATAATAAAATGTCTTCACTCATACAATAAAAATAACAGACCACCCTTTCACAGAGCACCAATGGGATCCAACTAATCAGGCTTTCTAAGTTCAACTGAGACCTAAAATAAGAGCAAAACTTGGAGAGCACTAGAAGAGAAAGGATGAGATCCAGAGAGAAGACAGATTCATTTACACATTTTATGAATACAAGGGAAAGTGGGACTTCGGATTTTAAAGACCCTAGAGCAGGTGTCCTTTCACAGTCTTTCATACTGCTAGTTGAATGTTATCAAAACCAATTGCCCGGGTGGCTGGAAAAATAAACATGCTGGCATTGAGGAAGACAAAAAATCAAAGGAAGGCAGGAGAAGCAGCCCACCAGCAGAGTGAGAAATGTTCCTGCTGGGTGGACAGGTGATCAATTTGTGTCTTTCTAATATTCTGTGGGCTCATTTAAGTACAGAAAACACAGAACTAAACATCAGCTGCATGTGACTTAAAAATCAAGTCTCATTTCATCATTCCTTTTCCAAATAAGCACTATATGCCAAAGAACTTATGAACACTATCTCACACTGATTTAGACTTTTCAAAAATGAGGACATTTACAAAAGGTATAAACTTCAGTTATAAGATAAATAACTCCTGGGGATATAAGGTGCCACCTGGTGACTATAGTTAGTGCTACTATATTGTATATTTGAAAGTTCCTAAGAGAGTAGGTCTTAAAAGTTCTCATCACAAGAAAAAAAAATTATAACTGTGTGTGGTGATGGGTGTTAACTAGACTTATCCTGGTGACCGTTTTGCAATATATACAAATATCAAATCATTTGGTTGTACACCTGAAAATTATACAGTGTTACTTGTCAATTATTTCTCAGTTAAAAAAATGAGGACATTTAAATTTTTTTAAGTTTTGATAAAAAGATCAGCTAATCAAATTCCTTTGTTCAAATTATCAGAGTGGAGGAAAGGGCATATTACTGTGGTTGAATAATCAGTTACTCTGGATTTCCCAAAGTTATTATACTCTTTATTACACTAATTAGTCTCAGATATTTCAGGTTTTTAGCTACTTGAACAAAAAAACCTCTATCTCAATTTGGGAAAAGTGAACTCTGTATGACAGTTGACACAATAAATTCTTATTGTTCACAAGTCAGTTTGGGGATAACAATTTACATCCTAGAAAAGATTAAACTTAAAAAAAAAATGAATGGCTGATAAATGGGCTATGGGTAACTTCAAGGGATACTCTGAGCAAAGGTTCTCAGTATGAACTCCATATCTCAGTAATTACCAACTATGAAAACTGGTTCTCACTAGCTCTGCTTTCTCTAGAAAGACTGCTGATTAGATTACTCTGTGGGATAGGTACCAAGGGAGGGTTTGGAAATTACGAAAGGCAGAGAGACAAAAGAAGTACAAATGGGATGTTGCCAAATACTCAATATCATTTGAATTTGAAACCAGGGGTTTTTCTTACCATCACTGGAACCAAAGCTTCCATCGATGGATTTTCTTTTAAACCTATAAACAAGCACACACACATGATTCTAAGACAGTGAAATCCTCAGCATTTTATATTTATTCCCCATAGACTTTGTTGAAGATTTGTCTGCTAGGATCTCTTAAAAATGAGCCTTTGCATGTGGAGAAACTGGACCTCTGATACGTTGCTGGCGGGACTGTAGAATGGTGTAGCCACTTTAGAAAACTCTTCGGCAGTTCCTCAGAAAGTTAACATAGGCTTACTGTATGGCCCAATTCCACTCCCAGGCATGTATCTACATACATAAATTCATTAATTTATTTTCAGATTATTTTTTTTCAGATAATTCACACATCATAAAATTCACCCTTTAATGTGCATATTTCAATGAATTTTAGTATGTCCACAAAACTGTGCAACCATCACTATTATCTAATTCCAGAACATTTTCATCATCCCCCCAAATTAAAAACCTACTAGCAGTCACTCCCTAATACCCACTCCTGTACATTTCTGACAACCACAAATCTACTTTCTGTCTCTATAAATTTGCCTATTCTGGAAATTTCATATAACTCATACTATCTGTGGTCTTTTTTGACTGGCTTCATTCATTAAGCATAATGCTTTCAAGGTTCATCTGTCTGGTAGCATGAATCAATACATCAGTCTTTTATGATTCAATAATATTCCTTTGTATGGATACACCATGTTTAATTTATTTGTTTACATTTGATGGACATTTGGTTGTTTCCATGTTTTGGCTATCATGAATAACACTGCTATGAACATTTGTGTACAAGTTTTTGTGTGGATACATGTATTAAATTCTCTTGGGTATACCTACATACGGAAGTGCTGGGTATGAGGTAACACTATGTATTTTTTTTTCAAACTTTTCCACAGTAGCATTATAGCAGGAACTATTTTATATTCCTACTAGCATTGTATAAGGTTTCAATTTCTCCATGTCTTTACCAACTCTTGTTACATGTTTTCCATTAAAAATTACAGTCATGCTAGTGGATAAGAAATGATATCTAATTGTTTTCTTGATTTGCATTTCCCTGAAGGCTAATGATGTTGAACATCTTTTCATATGCTTATTGGCCACTTGTATATCTTCTTTGGATAAATAGCTATTCAAACCCTTTGCCCATTTTATTTATTTTTCTTTGTATCATTGGCTTATAAGAATTCTTTATATAGTGTGGATACTAGACTCTTAACGGATATATGAGTTGCAAACATTTTCTCCAGTTTTGTGTGTTGTATTTTTACTCCCTTGATAGGCCCTTTAAAAGTACAGAAGTTTTGGGGTGCCTGGGTCGCACAGTTGGTTAAGCACCTGACTCTTGGTTTCAGTTCAGGTCGTGATCTCAGGACTGAGAGATGGAGCCCCGTGTTGGGTTCTGTGCTCAGTGGGGAGTCTGCTTGAGATTCTCTCTTCCTCTGCCCTTCTCTCTCCTGTTCTCTCTCTCTAAAATAAAATAAAATAAATAAATCTTAAAAAAAAAAAGCACAGGGGCCCCTGGGTGGCTCAGTTGCTTAAGTGACTGCCTTTGGCTCAGGTCATGATTCCAGAGTCCTGGGATCAAGCCCCGCATCAGGCTCCCTGCTCAGCGGGGAGCCTGCTTCTCCCTCAACTGCTCCCCCTGCTTGTGCTCTCTCTCTCAAATAAGTAAATAAAATTTTTAAAAAAACTTTTTTTAAAAATCACAAAAATTTTAATTTTGATGAAGTATAATTTATTTTTTTTTCTTTTGTTACCTGTGCTTCTGGTGTCCCATCTAAGAAACTATTGCCTAATCCAAGGTCACAAAAGATTTACACCTCTATTTTCTAAAGTTTTATAGATTTAGCTCTTATATTTGGAACTTTGTTCTGAGTTAATTTTTTTAAAAGATTTTATTTTTTAAGTAATCTCTATACCCAACGTGGGCCTTGAACTCATGACGCAGAGATCAAGAGTCACGTGCTCTTCTGATTGAGCCAGCCAGGCACCCCTTGTTAATTTTTTCATATGGTGTGAGGTAGGGGTAAAACTTTGTTCTTTTTCAGGTTGATACCCAGTTGTCTCAAAAACATTCGTTGAAAAGGATATTCTTTTTCCATTGAATTGTCTTGGTACTCTTGTCAAAAATAGGATCATAAACGTAAGGGTTTATTTCTGAACTCTCAATTCTGTTCCATCGATTTATATGTCTTTCCACATGTTATTGCCAGAGTTTTGATTATGTAGCTTTGTAGTAAGTTTTGATATCAGGAAGTGTAAGACCTCCAGTTTTGTTCTTTTTTTTTTTTTATGACTATTTTACCTATTCTGGGTCCCTTGCATTTCCCCAGGAATTTTAGGATCAGTTTGTCAGTTTCTGTAAGAAAGTCAGCTGAGACTTTGATAGGGATTGTTTTGGATCTACTGTAGATCAATTTGGGGAGTATAATCATGTGTTTCAGTTTCTGTTGCTGCTATAACAAATTATCACAAACTTAGTGGCTTAGAATAATACAAATTTATTATCTTATAGTTCTGAATGTCAGAATTCCAAACTGTGTCTTATGTGGCTAAAATCAAGGTAGCAGACAGGGCTGTATTCCTTCTAGAGGCTCCTGGTTATCCTGATATCCTGGGAGATTACCCTTTTCCTTGCTTTGTCTAGCTCCTAAAGGCTGCATCCACTCCTTACTCGTGGCCCCTTCCTCTACCTTCAAAAAGTGCAATGCTCCAACCTCTGCTTCCATCATCACATCTCTTCCTTCTGCCCTTGACCCACTGTTTGTTTCCCTCTTACAAGGACCCTTGTGATTAGATTATACCCACATGGATAATCCAGAACAATCTCCATAATTTTATCACATTGGTAAAATCTCTTTTTGCCATGTAAAGTAACATGTTCACAGGTTCTGGATATAAGATGTGGTCATCTTTTGGGGGTCATTATTTTACTACACCATCTTAATAATATTCAGTCTTCCAAACCATGAACATGGGATATCATTCCATTTATTTAGGTCCTCTTTAATTTCTTTCAAGGATGTTTTGTCATTTTCAATGTACAAATCTTATATTTATTAAATTTATTCTTAAGTATTTTATTATTTTTAAAAATATTTATTTTTTTATTTTAGAGAGAGAGAGAGCAGGGTGGAGAGGGGAGAGGGAGAAAGAGAATCCTCAAGCAGACTCCCTGCTGAGCGTGGACCCGCCCCCCCCACCCCCATGTGGGGCTGGATCCCAGGACCCTGAGATCATGATCTCAGCCAAAACCAAGAATCAGACACTCAACTGACTGAGTCACCCAGGCGCCCCAAGTATTTTATTATTTTTGATACTATTGAAAATGGAAATGTTTTCTTAATTTTATGCTTGGATTGTTCATTGCTAGTGTACGGAAATACAACTGGTTTTTGTATATCAATCTCATATCCTGTAATCTCGATGAACTCAGTTTCTTTTTGTAGGTAATGAAAATTAAATAGTGGTGATGGTTGTTGCAACAGTGAATATACTAAAAACCATTGAACTGTATACTTTAAAAGGGTGAATTTTATGATCTGTGAATTATGTCTCAGTGAAGCTATTACTAAAAAAGCCAGGTATATCATTTGGAAATGTCTGTCAAACATTGAAATGTGAATTACTGTCTCATGTCAAATGCGCCTCTCTTTTGGATGTGAGATTGGAGTCAGGGAGGAGGAAATTTAGGGGCTAGACATGGTTGTGCTTTGGTACATGCTCTTATTTACTTTCAGATGGCTACTCTAGAAGTTGCACACTCCTGATCCTGGTATGTTTGGTGGAAGAACTTCTCTTCATACCTCTTTTGTTCCTAGACACAGCAAACTCATCCCTGCCTCAGGGCCTTTGCTATTGTTCTCTGTCTGGGCCACTCTCTCCACACATCCTCACATGGCTGGCTCCTTCTTGCTATTAAAGTCTTGCTTCTGAGATATCTTCCTTGCTGAACAAATCAAATCTAAAGTAGCTTCCCCAATCCAACCATTCTCTATCACACTACAATGTTTTTTTTTCCTGCCACTAGCTGAAATTATTTGCTTTATTAATTGCTTGCTTGCTTATGTGTTTCTCCTCTGTACAATATAAACTATTAGAGCAGGGATCTAGACTGTCTTGTTCGCCACTGCATCCCTAAACTCTGGGACAGAGCCTGGCACATAGGAAATGATAACTAAATATTTGTTGAACGAACAAGGCATATTATTAAGGAGAGCAGTTACAATTTGGCCCAACTGTTCTAGCTGACAAATGAGGCTTTGGCAAAGTCCCTTTTTTTAAAAAAAATAAGTTCAAAATTTTAATTCCAGTATAGGTAACATACAGTGTTATATTAATTTCAGGTGTACAATATAATCATTCAACAATTCTATACCTTACCCAGTGCTCATGATGGTGAGTGGGCTCTTTAATTCCCTTCACCTGTTTCACCCATTCCCCCCACCCACCTTCCCTCTGGTAACGCTGTTTGTTCTCTATAGTTAAGAGTCTGTTTTTTGGTTTGTCTGTCTTTCTTTCTCCCCCCTCCCTTTGCTCATTTGTTTTGTTTCTTAGATTCCACACTTGAGTGAAGTCGTATGGTCTTTGTCTTTCTCTGACTGACTTATTTCACTTAGCATAATACTCTTCAATTAGTGCTATTGCACTTTTTGGGTAAATACCCAGTAGTGCAATTACTGGATCATAGGGTAGTTCTATTTTTAACTTTTTGAGAAATCTCCATACTGTTTTCCACAGTGGCTGCACCAGGTTGCATTCCCACCAACGGCGCATGAGGGTTCTTCTTCTCCACATCCTCGCCAACACTTATTGAAGTCCCTTTTTTTTTTAAAGATTTTATTTATTTATTCATGAGAGACAGAGAGAGAGAGAGAGGGAGAAGCAGGCTCCCAAGGAGCAGGGAGTCCGATGCAGGACCTGATCCCAGGACTCTGGGATCATGACCTGAGCTGAAGGTAGACGCCCAACCATCTGAGCCACCCAGGCGCCCTTGAAGTCCCTTTTTAAAACAATCCTCGTGATATTAACTGGCAAGCAATTACGTGAACTCATAAAAGATGATGTGTTTGTACTAACAGGCTTTAACCTACATTTGCTGTAGGTTTTGGAGCTGACAAAATTCTTCAGTAGAGGAGTTAAATGATTTAGAAAACTAGGCTGAGGCAGGCAGTATCCCATGAGCAAAGGAGAAAATAGTAAATGAGAACTATGCCAGATTGATTACAAAATGGCTACATCTCCTCTTGTATTCAGCTCCTTAAATCGAAAGTTGGAGTCTGTATCTTCACCTCTTGAATCTAGGCTGGCCTCATGACTTGTTTTGACTAATAGAAAGGAGAAGTGATATCATGCCACTGCTGAACCTACGTCTTAAGGAGGCCTTGCACTCTTCTGCCATCTCTCTTGGAGATACAATAAGCCAGGGCCAGCCTGTAGGAATTTGAGAGACCAAGTGCTGCTGAGGCTGGTCTAGAAGAGCCACCTTCTAGCTGACCTGCCAGGTGATTGCACTCTATGACCACACCCAACTGAGATCTCTGAGCCCAGTCTGGATTAGCTGCAGCATCTGGCTGACCCAGAGATTAAATATTTATTACTGTATGCCACTGGAGTTTTTATGGTTGATTTTTATGTAGCATTATCGTGGCCATAGATAACCAATACAAGAATCAAGGGAAGGATGAATACTCTCAGGATTGTGCAGTTTGAACTCAATGTCTGGCAGGGCGGTTGGGAGAAATGAATAAGAGAACATATATCCAGATGTGGATGGAACTGGAGAGTGTTTTGCTGAGCGAAATAAGTCAATCAGAGAAAGACATGTATCATATGACCTCACTGATATGAGGAATTCTTAATCTAGGAAACAAACTGAGGGTTGGAGGGATGGGGTGGCTGGGTGATAGACACTGGGGAGGGTATGTGCTATGGTGAGCGCTGTGAATTGTGCAAGACTGTTGAATCACAGATCTGTACCTCTGAAACAGATAATACATTATATGTTAAAAAAAAAAGAAGAAGAAGAAGATAGCAGGAGGAGAAGAATGAAGGGGGTGAAATCGGAGGGGGAGATGAACCATGGGAGACTATGGACTCTGAGAATCAAACTGAGGGTTCTAGAGGGGAAGGGGGTGGGGAGATGGGTTAGCCTGGTGATGGGTATTAAAGAGGGCACATTCTGCATGGAGCACTGGGTATTCTACGCAAACAATGAATCATGGAACACTACATCAAAAACTAATGATGTAATGTATAGTGATTAACATAACATAATAATAAAAAAAAAGAAAAAAAAAGAGAACATATATCCAGTGTTTGGCCCAGGGTGTGCACATTTATTGTAGTGGCTCCTTAAATACTTTTTGAATGGATTGTGGCTGGGAATGGGAGGGGAATGGGGTTTAGGTTCAAGTCAGTACAGCTAATACTTTGGATTCTTAGCTCCCTGAGGGCAGGAGCCATGTCTCTTATTCATGTTTCATCCTGATTTCCTAGCATGTACTACAAACCCCAGATATATTAATAATAAAGTACAGGGAGCTCATCAAGCAAATGGCATTATGCCCCAGGACTGGCTTCATTTGGTTTTGTAGAAACCTTTGTTATTTCTGCTGAGTTCAATGAGGGAAGAGTTCTGTTAGTGTTTTCCCTCAGTCTATCCTCTTATTAAGAATGTCAAATAGTTCTTATGTCTCCAGATTTCTATTTTCAGTTTCTCTATATTTGGAAAGAATTTATGCTTGTGCAATTGACTGTAGCAAACAAAATAAGCTGGCAGCCAGAGGTTTCAACAGAGCCTTCTACCTCAACTTGCAAAAGCTGTGCTTGCTTCTGTAGGCCGAATGACAACTTTAGGGAGATAGATATCCAGCTCTTAATTTTTTGTCTGTTGGTATGTTGATTATGCATGCTGTTAACTAAAGAGGTAAAATCCTATCTTCTAAAATTTAAATCATCAGGCATAGAGACGATTTTCCTAAGGGAGGCAGAAGAGATGAACTTCTTTTTCCATGATCTTGGAGCTCATCTGAGTCAAAATGGGGAGCTTTTTGGGTCCTTTCCCAATCGCATCCATGCCGGGGTGCCAGACTTTTGGTTTGGCCTCCCTGATCAGGACTGCCCTCCCTCACATGCCCTGACCACTCCAGACCCGTCTTGACTAGCCTGCCAGGCTCTAGAGCCAGGCTGCCTGGAAATCCAAACAAATCCCAGGTCCCTCATTTATTGGCTATGAATTTTTGGTTGAACTGCTTCAAAGCTCTATGCCTCAATTTCCTTAACCATCAGGTGGTGATAATACTAGTACTCATTGTAGGGCATTAGATGAGATAATCTGCTCAGAGGGCTCAGCATGGTGCCTATTAAATGTCAGCCATTATGATCTAGTAAATTAAGTAGGCTGATAATCAGTTAATGTATATACTTTCCAGATACATTTGCCTATACACTAGGGTTTTTGTTTTTAACTTTTATTAGAAAATAACTTCAAATTTACAGAGAAGTTGTAAAAATAAGAATAAAATATAAAACACCCATATACCCTTTATTTAGATTCACTTATTGTTAGCATGATACCCCATTTGCTTTATCATTCTGCATGTGTATAATATATGTGTGTGTATATATATATACACACACATTAAAAAATATATATATAATTTTTTGAACCATTTGAAAGTAAGTTGCTTATGTAATGAACTGTTATTCCTAAGTATTTCCATTTTTTTAAAGTAAACTCTATGCCCAACATGGGGCTCAAACTCACGACCCTGAGATCAAGAGTCTCATGCTCTACTGACTGAGCCAGCCAGGCGCCCTCAATACTTCTAAAGAATAAAGATATTCTGATATTCTCTTCCTTAATCACAGTATCGTCAAATTCAGCAAATTTAACATCAATATGATACTCTTACCTAATCTGTCTGTATTACAATTTTGTTAACTGATCCAATGATGTCCTTTATAGCATATTCTTCTTCTAGCAAAAGATCCAGTCTGAGACCAGGTGTTGCCTTTGGTTGCCCATATCTCTTTCGTCTCCTTCAATCTAGACCATTTCCATGGCCTTCCTTTGTCTCTGAAGACACATTCTAATAGAATGTTTGTCATTTTGAGTTAGTTCAGTTTTTCCTCAGGATTACATACAAAATACGCCTTTCTGGCTGGAATATTGCATACGTGGTGCTGTCTCCTCAGAGTGTCTCCTGTGGAGGCACACAACATCCATCCATCCATCCTTGCTCACATTAATTTTGATCACCCAGCCAATCCTGGTCTGAGTTTCCATTGGAGGGTTACTATGTTTCCCTTACAACTAGGAAGCAAATCATGGGGATACACCTTATGGCAGTGCAGTACCTTGATTCTCATCAGATTTCCCTCGTAGTTTAGTATCCACTGATGATTCTTAATCTATGCAGAATGATGATTTTCCACTGCCAGCACTCCTTCCATATTTTCCAGTCAGCCTTTGGCCTTCTGATGTAGGCAAGAGTCCTCCCTTAACACTGTCAGCATTTGCTAATGGCTCCCTTCCCTAATGCGTACTACGTGGTTGGTGCCTTTGGATTTGTATCTGGAGGTATTTAGGTCCTCCCTCCCTTCCTCCTTCCCTCCCTTCATCAATTTGGATTCACAAATTTCTATTTTTCTCAGTGGTTTATAAATTTATTATTCTTAATTATTTTGACGCTCAAATTGTGCCAGATATGGCCAGTGGTAGTCCCAGGGTTTTAAAATTCAGTTTCTCAACGGAAAAGCTCTGTGAAGGTCACAGAAGAGAGTTATTTTTTGAATCCGAGCTAGGCCTGTACCACTGAGACAGCTGTATTACTGTGGTAGCCATGAAGTTTTTCACCAATGCTGTGAGCTTGCCCGGTAGTTTGAAAACTGTGTGCTGAAAGCTCTGTGCTTTGTTTTCTTTGTGTGTTCAAGACAGGAATGAACATTTGTTTATTGTAGGCCTTCTGCCATTCTTTTGTAGTTGCCTCACAGAGACCGCAACAAGGTACAGAATTCTCAGTGTTTGGGCCTGCTCAAAGATGCAAGGAGAAACCCGGGCCCTTTTATTATGGGCTCCAAACTCCTGGGAAGGGAAATTGTCTTGGTCAAATTACAGTACCATCATCTCCTTTTTTTCCTCTCAAGGGTCATTTTACTGGAAAATCGATGCTATAGTAGTAAGAAAGCAGCTGGTAATATAGTACCAAAGCACATCACTCCTGCTGTTTATTATACCTCGAGATTTATTTCAGGCATTAATTTACTTGTTGATGGACTATTTAAAGCTATTAATGGAATATTTAATATGTTTCTCCATACTGGGAAGAACTCATCATTTCCTACATTCCATAGGATTTACAGGATTTCCTGGTCCAAAAAATACCCACGCTGTCCTTCTGTTGAGGTTTTATTAACTATGAAAAGAACTAACACTCTACCAGCACTTACTCTGTGCAGGACATTGATGTGAATACTGCAGTTACACAATTCTAGGAGGGAAATTTTTATTATTATTATTTTTTAAAGATTTTATTTATTTATTTGACAGAGAGAGAGAGAGTACAAGCAGGGGGAGCGGCAGGCAGAGGGAGAGGGGGAAGCAGGCTCCTTGCTGAGCAGGGAGCCCGATGTGGGGCTTGATCCCAGGACCCTGGGATCATGACCTGAGCTGAAGGCAGTCGCTTAACCGACTGAGCCACCCAGGCACCCCTAGGAGGGAAATTATGCTCTCATTATGGTGAGTAGGAAACTGAAGCACAGAAAGGTTACACACAGTTGGTGGTTGAGGTAGAGTTGAATCTGGTCAATATGGCTCTAAAGCCTAATGCTCTAATTCCTATGCAGAGAAGGCAAAGGGGGTTAACATTTCTTGATACTCTTGACTTACCTGATACAATGAACAAGAATAAGAAGTACGAATCCAAAGTAGAAGAAGAGGAAGATGACGAGACTGATAAGGATGGGTTTCATATCAACAGATCCTGAGGGAAGAGAAACAACTTTGGTCAGGGTGTCCTCAGGAGAAAAGAGGACCATGTTTGGGACAGGACACCTTCAAGGACCCATCTCCATCATACCCATTCTGAAGTCCTAATATATTTCCATTCAAAGCAGCAAAGCTGCAGGAGGTCACCCAGACATTATCCACAAATGGCCACCTTTCACACTCATGAGTTCCCAGTGGAAGGTAGGAAGGGACTTCCCGTATACAACTTCACAATTGAGTTCCCTCTCTTTCTGGAAGAGATTTAACAAAATGCTTTGATTCTCTCTTCTATCTCTATGGTAAATACCAGTTTTTTTGTGATATTTCTCTGGAGGGATGGCATTAGCTTTGATGCATATGATTGACTTCCTCACATAGAAATTTTTCTCTTTTGAATCTTAGAGGCAATACCGACCTTTAGTGGAAGGAACAATGATCACTTTAAGGTTCTTTGTTCGATGTAGATTCCAGGTTTGGTTCTCCTTTTCTGGTAAAAAAGAACAAGGCACAATAGATCAGATATTTGGTTCTTGGCCTCTCATCTGAACAGTTGTTCAAAAACTGTCCACAATTAGCTCTGGTTGTTGAATTTTCTTGTAGCAAGAACTAGAGGAAAATCTAATCCCCAAAGCTACAAACCATCTAATACCCCTTTGGGCTAAGCTTTCAATTTGGCCTTTGCTTGGGTGCATTTTGATAGTATTGAAGCAGTGAGACTGCAGCCCCCCTTCTGGAGTGAAGAAGGCTCAACTCATCCTCTGCTATCCATGTGGCTCGATATGCCACAGACATCTGAAGAAAACAGCTACTAAAATAAACGCTGTCTCATCTTTTGGTTTGCACTATTCCAGCCAGTGAAAATTTGTTTTTTGTTATATAGTCATAAAAGGACTTGTAGTTTACCAAAGGACAATGGACACCGGCAAAACTCTAGACAATATAATTAATAGATTAAAGAATACATAAGCAGAAATTTCACCCAAATGGCAAGAGAACGATGTATACTCAATAGTAAACACCCTCTGTGTTAATCACATGTGGCTCATCAGCTGCTGGGGGGAGGGGTCTGTGTTTTCAATCAACAGCCTATTCCATTCCCACAGTAGTTCCTAAGTAGTTACCCATAACCATTTTTACTATGCCTAAGAGCTCACACAATCCCTGTCATGGGGACAAATTGTCCACTTTGCTTTCTTACCATCTTGCCAGGTATAAAATTTTGGCAACTGAAATTGAGAACTCTGAATTTTTCTCGTACGTCCTTGTGGAAATGATGACTACTGATATATACAGTGGCTCATTACTGCTGGCTACCAAACTGATCTTAGAAAGTGGACCTTGATATGCTGCATAAAATCACTATTACATAATAGCAAATATTTGTTGAGTAAAAGGCCAACTGAGTGAATAAACCTCACGTGGTCTGAGGGAGCAGAAGACTTCGAAAAGATGTAGGGCACTAAGTGACATTCTGTAGTATCAACAATAGCTTTAGATCGATCATTTTCTTCCTTATATATTTTTTTCAAATATCTCTCAGACTGCCTTGCAAGTCACTGCTGATGACCTTCAGTGAGAACTAGAGATGGTAGTAAGAGGCCACTGTGAGCTTTTGCCTTCCCTCCTATTCCATTTCATTAGGTTTTTCTAAGTAGCAAGCATTCCTATCTCTTACCCTGGATAAAGAAAGATCCTCCGCAGGTATAATCTTCAGGCTTTATCACAAATACCACGAAGAACTGCTCGCTTGGAAAATCCTTCTTCTGCATAAGATATAACAACTTGTGATAGCAAGAAAGGATAGCAAAAGGGGAGAAAGTCCATGGTGGTGGGGTGTGAACTGAGAGGAAAGAGAAGAAAAATGAAGTTCACCCCTGCCCCCTAATTTCTTAGAAAGAACCTTCAGATACCCATGATTTACTCCAGATTTTATCCACAATAAAATAATTGTTGCATACAAAAAATTCAAGTAGATACACTATTCTAATTTCAATCTATCTTGTGTCCACTTAGGTGCTTAGAACTGTAATAGGTCCCATGTAAAAAATATGTTAACAGTCTATGTTTAATAATTAATACTTGTATATTATGTTTTTAAAATTAGCATACTTTAGAGTGTTTTAGGTTCACTATATTAAGCTTTAATTATTTAAAAATCTAATGACAGGGGTGCCTGGGTGGTTCAGTTGGTTAAGTGTCTGCTTTCAGCTCAGGTCATGATCTCAGGGTCTTGGGCTTGAGCCTGAGTCTGGCTCCCTGCTCAACGGTGGTGGGGGGATTCTGCTTCTCCCTCTCCCTCTGCCCTTCCCTGCTCCCTCCCCCCCGATGTGTGCTCTCTCTCTCTCTCTCAAATAAATAAATAAAATCTTTAAAAAATAAAAAATAAAAATAATCTAATGATAAATGACTTTCCTAAAAGTCACACAGCCACAATTAAATAATTTAGGTTAGGGATGCAAAGACTTAAGTGAGGCAACCTGAGTTATAGTCCTGGCTTTAACTTTCTCTAAGTGTACTTCTCTGTATCCCAGTCTCCTTACTCATGAGTGAACAAGAACAGATATTTGGCATATCAAAACTGAGGCACTAGGAAATTGAAGCCTAATAGGGCTTTTTACATTTGATAGCTAAATTATAATTAACCTCTCTTCATTCCTTGTTATTTAGTAAACAGTATCACCTTACCCTGGACAACAGACCAAGTTGTAGGTAACTTAAGTAAACCCACCCTAAAGACAGAGACAGAATCTCTTTGAAAATCTACATGATATATGTTCATTTTTGCTATAAAACTGTCATTGAAATAATAATTTAATTACAAATGACAAAAGGGCAAACCACTATACACATGTGGTCTATATTCCTTTGAACCTATCCATTCTGTCCAGAATGGAAGTCCTTTTTTGGTTACTGTTATAGGTATACAGAGTATTAGAATATGTTTGATTCCTTTAAATAGATCAAACTCCACGCTAAATTGGCATCCCCCAATGAGGAGATTGGCATCTCACCTTACCTTTCTAAGCAATCTGTCAGATATATGTTCCACTGCATCATGGGTTCCTAAGACTTCCCAAGGGGAATGGCAGAGTGGCATTGTCCACCATGGCCTGGGCTTTGATTTCAGGAGTAGTGATCTTTGTTTTATTTTATTTTACTTATTTTTACTCTTATTATTTTAAATTTTATTTATTTGAGAGCAAGAGTGAGAGAGAGAGAGAGCACGACTGGGGGATGGGGAGGAATAGAGGAAGAGGGAGTAGGAGCAGACTCCCCACTGTGCAGGGAGTCCGATGCGGGACTTGATCCCAGGACTCCCAAGATCATGACCTGAGCTGAAGGCAGATGCTTAACTGACTGAGCCACCCAGGTGCCCCACAATCTTGATTTTAAAACCAGTCATAAAGGAAAGATATCCAAGGCACACAGTGAATGATGATACCTTCTGGATGCTGGTCCAACAGGTGACCTGACTGTGTATTGTGAATAAACTGTGTATTGTCATTGACAATATTGACCACAGAAGTGATGTCTCACCTGCAGTGTGATGGCAGCTTTCTTGGTCATGGACTGATAGACACCATTAAATTCCACATTGTGGTCGAGATCATGCACTGGGCACTGTAATGTGCATGAAGGATAAAAAAAAGAAAGCATCACTAAAGCCATACTATACACACCACACATTCCTCCTGGATCACAGAGCAAGGGGTTCCTTACTAAACCAAAAACCAGGAAACATTTTCTCCAAGAAAAGTCACGCAACAGTCCTCCTAAAACTTGGTGCCTTGTCTTCTAAAGTTCTCTAAAGGTCACTTTATATCAAAGAGAACTGAAAACATTGTCTTAAAGTGTACAACACCTTTCCCATTTTTTATTAACACATTATGAGACAGAAATGGCCTATGGTTACAATAAAAATTTTAAAACCTAGAATAAACAGTAGGTTTCTATGTTTCTTGTGCAGTCCACGATTTGGTCTTCCATATTCTTTGTTATGATCCTCCCTCCCTTCCTTCTTTCCTTCGTTTATTTTGGTGAGGAGTCCACTAGTCTCCATCTCCCCAAATCAGTGTCTCCAAACAGATGATCCACTTGTGTGCACAAGATACTGTTTTTTTATTTAGCAGTTTTGCAGGCGATGCAGGGTAAGAGGATGACATGGTCCCCACCCTCCTCTTTCATTTATCCTGGGACAATATTATGCTCCATATTGAAAGGTTGACAAGTTATTAAGACTCACCATGATATTCTGGACTGAGACAACAGAACATGGATAAGCCATTTCAGACCTGACTTTAATAATAACTGAGTCCACATCATCAGGAAATTTGTATAGAAAATACTGAGAATAAGAAAAAGAAAGAAATGATTTGTTAATATTAAAGAATGTTTACAGTTATGAACTCGAACTGGTTTTACAATCTCCATTAATTCAGTCAGCCATTCATCTCACATATATATTGAGCAACTGCTGTGTGCAGGGCTCTGGGCTCTGAGCCAGATATTAGGCATACAGCAGTGAACAAAACACGGTAGCCATTTCAGACAATGTTGTCATTTCATTTGTTAGCATTTCTTTCTCAACTAAACTTTTGTGTACTTCATTCCAGTTTCTGCTTAAGAAGATCCCCCCAACTCTTTGAACTAGGGATATTCAAGATGTAACATGAGACAACATTTACTTCTATGTGATCATTTTGAAATAGGAAGCTCCACATTGAAAAGCAGATAAGCCTGTTCTTCAAGATTCTTAACAACCTTCCTTTAGGCAAGAATTACCACTAGACCTACCCTGCCCCTAGACTTCTTGTTAAAGAATCTGTTTCCTGGCTGGCATATAGCCAGACAATATTTCCATTCAAAGATCAAGCACTACTTCTAGCGCCTTGAAATATGTTCACAATTTGGAGCAGGCTGAGATATCTTCAAAATGATTTCTCAGGTATCATCAGAATCAGGAAGTATTTATAATAGAAAGAAGTTATACCAATTTACCTAGATTAGATTATGAATCCACTGTTTGTTAACCCTGACTTTTAAACATGTTGCCAATAAATGAAGAAAGGAGACTTCTGTCCAATAATTATAAATGTGGTAACTGCTTGAGAAGCTCGACATTAAGATTTTGAGGACACCAGCCAAAACAAGCCCAATATCCTAGGACTCTAATAAATCTATCAGTTTAAAGGAGAGGCAAAACATGTTAAAACTTAATTCTGTATTCTAGCATCCTCTTTACTAACCTTATACTGAGAACCAGAGCAATAAAAATGTAATGTTGTCCAATAATCCACAGCCTTCCGATGGGGGAAAAAAATAACCTCAAGATTAAGGAGTGTCATTAACGCTGCAGTTTGGAAGTCTGTTCATGCCTTGTAACAGATGGCAACACTCCCAAGAACCCACTTCATTTGGACCTTTCATTTTGGAGCTTGATTCAAATACATATAATACAGGGCTCTTCCAAAGGTAAATGCTCTGGAATTCTCAAGAGGTATTTTTGGTTCTTAGGAAAGCCGAACTTAGTAACTCAAGAGCATTACTGTGATCACCGTTAGCAATGAGTATCATATATATTCCTATGTACTATAGGAGTTGGTTTTGTCACTGGGTGGCAGTATATATGCACTGTGGAGGCTCTCACTGATGGGAAATTTAGCTCTTAAAAGATGTGTGGGAGTTGGCTCATACGGGTTTGGAGAGCTGACTGCACACATCTCTTCCCAACTCTGTATTCGAGGACATCATGTTGGCAGCTTGAGATTAGCCAGGATAGAAGTATTTTCACCACAGAAATGGGAAAATGCTACAAATCAGGAGTTTCCCTCTGGGAACTGGTTGTTAAATATTTACCAGCATATAAATGTCTGTAATCGAATTACACCAGTATCCATATATATATGTTAATCCCAGTTTTAGCATATCCAAAACAAAAAATTAAGTAGCCAGGTATGACCTAAGCTGTATAACAGCCTGCAGAAGATTTACAAAAAATATCAGGACATTAAATAAATCTGTTGTAAACTTGCTATTGCATAGACTTTCCTCTTTCAGAAGCCAAGAAAGAGAAAAGGAAGGTAGCTAGAAGTGTCAACAGAAAAGCGGCTTAAATCAAAGTTTTCAAGTATTTATTCTGTTTTGATTATGGTTTAATGGAGAACACAGCACAAATATCTAATTCTTCTCATGTCAGCATTCCTGGTCTCTCTTTATGACAGGAATAACTAATTTATTCTACCCATAACACTGTAGAAATTAAAGTCTGTCTTGTTTTTATTGCATTTCTAGGTCAATTATTTGTGTACCTGTACTGTGTTTTGCCTTCTACTCCCTGGTCCCCCAGCACCCATTTTGATTACAAGGTCCATGAGGGCAGAAGTTGCATCTCTTTCTTCTTCACCTCGTATCCCCAGCACCTAGGACAGTCTAATACTGTCTTTGGTGCATAACAGGCACACAATTTGCTAGAAGTTGAGCCAAGGAACATCTGCCAACAGATGTCATGCCTCCTATTTCATACCAACTAAGGTGAAAAGATTAAACGTTGTGTCTAAAATCCCAGTAATATGAACAACACGCCAAAAATGTAAATATATCACAAGTTGTAAAAAGTCAAGGGCAACACTGCATGCTGACTCTGCCTATTACCATGGCTTTTTGGAGGGTATTGTCAACAGGTAGAATCATGATAACCTTGAAACCCTTCACTTACCTGAGGTTGAGAGGGGCTGGCAGTGAAGTGAAAGGCAACATTTGTCCTGAGAAATGTATGTGGGAGAGGGAAAAGGGGGAAAAGTGAGAGAGAAGCTAAGTTAGCAAGCAAAAATGATTTCTGTAAAAGAAAACCATCTGAAAGTCGATGTAAGGAAAGCCTTATCCTTTGTGAAATGAGTTCTAGTCCCATCAAACTGACAAAGTAAACAGCATGAAGATTTGGTTTCAGCTCTCAAGAATGATAAAATTGGGAAGAGGATTGATTTTATGTCTTTATATAACCATGATGTCATACCTATAAGTCTTTATATAACCATGATGTCATACCTATAAAAGTAATTACTTGTTTGCTTTTGCAGACACTTTTGCCCTTTGGATTCTCTTAAGGTTTTACAACCAAGCACAGGGTTTGGGTGTCAGAAGCGGGCTGAAAAAGAGAGGAAAAGAAGGCTTGAGGTCCTTTTTAGATAATGTAGGTCACACTACAAAATAATTTGGGTGCATCCATGCCAAAAGATCATTATTTTAAACGTGGTGAATACATCATCACCATGGGAGGGACTCTGGGGCTAGAAGCATACCCTTCCTGCCTCCAAGCACTTCTCCAATTGCCTGCCACACCAGCTAAAATTCCTGTCCAAGACCGTGTCCTCTTCAGTTTACACACTGCCTTCTAAGGCCATCCTCTAAAATGCAAATACCACCAAAAGAATATAATGAAGCTGTTTTCTATCCAGTTGGTAATTTACTGTGAACTATTTTTTAAAAATATTTTATTTATTTATTTGACAGAGAGAGAGAGAGAGAGAGAGCACAAGTAGGCAGAGAGGCAGGCAGAGGGAGAGGGAGAAGCAGGCTCCCCGCGGAGCAGGGAGCCCGATGCGGGGCTCGATCCCAGGACCCTGGGATCGTGACCCAAGCCAAAGGCAGCTGCCTAACTGACTGAGCCACCTGGGTGCACCTTACTGTGAACTATTTTCTTAGATATTTTTGTTCTTCTGTGAAAGACAGCCTGAATCCTGCACTGAGGAAAGGCAAGTGTGAGGAGCTTGTGGGAAGCACACCCTTGTAGTACAGAATGCGGGCTGGCATGAACACACGTGAACCGGGTTAAGAAGCTGGAAAACACAAAGACAAATTGGTCTTCTCTACAGTTTTGTAAGGGCTGTTTTTGGCCTTTTGCGCTTTCTGGCTCCTGCCTCATCTTTAGCGGTGAAGATCGCTCACATAAGCCCACTGCATTCTCAGCGCTGGCACCTGGGGACAAGTCTGTCCCCACCCCACCAGTCTGGCCTGCATTTCAGGGAACCTGAACCTGAACTTGTCCTGGGGCCCCTTCCCAACTTCATCCCTTGGTGCTCCCTAAAGAGTCTTCCTCTCCACTATTTTTCCTTTGATAAAAGTTAGAACAGTTTAAAAAACTTTACCGAAGATTCCTTTATAAAGAACACGTCAAAACATTTAACAAGAAGTTTATAATTGGAGGCGTTGTTTAGAAGTCATAAAACTTGAGTACTATTTCTAAATTTAATGACCAACAATTTTAGGCTGTTGGCAGACTGGGCACAGAATTTAGCAATGGGTACAATTTTTTATGTAGCTACTCCCAACAGAAATGATCAGTGTCAAGGACTGCTTCTGTTGAAGCGCGGTTCAAGACTTGTGGCCCAAAGTCAGCTAAAGAAGCCAAAGTCAGTGTCAAACCCAGTTGTGTGTTAACTCCTGAGATTCCAAGACCAGAGTCGGGACCCCTGTGCTGCGTGTGGCTGGGGGGCTCCCTCTCAGCAGTGTGGTGTCATCTGCTGTTACCAGGGCAACACGGGGCCTGATTTTGGTTCAGTTGCCAGGTCAGGGGAAAGAAAAAGACACTGGTTTTCTTGGCTAGCAACAGACAGCAGGAGATTTCAGATGCAACGTTTTCTTTGGCCAGAAATTTCTCTTGTATACTCCCTTATCATTTGAATTCCAGTTGTAACACTGAATGTATGGGCATCAATATGATTTTTTTCCCTTGTTCTTCATGTTTTCCTTACTGGTATAATACATACAAACCTCAAAACCATTATTTTCTTTAAGACTATAGCATTTAAGTCCTCTCTACAGAATCAACAGTGTATGCAAAATAAACATTGTGTCTGTTGCAGATGAAACATGTCGCTTCCTTTCCCAGGGGGCCCTGCCACAGGTTGGGGAAGGTTTATTTAGAAGAGTCGTTAACCAGTAGAACAAAGCTAACTGAGACTCCTGCCCAACTTTAGAAGAAAAAAAGCATAAAATCTTCAACCAACTGTTTAAACAAATTAAGCACAGGAAACAAATGTTTATTCGATAAATAAGAAAAACTCAAAGCTGACTTTGTTCCCTTGTTTTGCTTAGTTTGAGGGAGAGGGGAAGAGAAAAGGACCAGATGGCGTCCAGAGAGCTCAGTGTGCAGATAAAGGAGACAGGAGAAGAACAGTGAGAGGAGAAATCCATCCAGGACAGTAATAAAATGGAAGAACAAGGAAAGGGGGATGGAAAGAGAGGGTGGGTGGGAAGAGAGGCAGGGATAAAAGCTAAGTCGTTTTGGGGGTGAGTACCAGAGAAGACTGTGAGATTCCCGGCATTTTCTTCATCCTGTGATAGCCAGCCCCTGGCACAGAGCCCAGTGTGTGTGCAAAACCCCCACTTTGTTTGCTGAAGGAAACTATGCCCTATTATTCACTTGGACTATCGACTTCAGAATATCATTCCCTGTTATCTCCTTACGGCCAACTGTTACGAACTCCCTTCGCTCCCCACAACCCTTCCAGCAACCCTCTGATCATGTGTAACCTTCCACTTCATCGCTCTGGTCTGAGTATAAACTCTGCATGCATCCTTTCTTTCCTTCTCTGGGATTCTGCTTCTATAAAATTCAACGTCCTATAAATTTTATACACCCTTGGCTTATAAATATATACTAATAGCAACCACTTTCAAAATAAATAAAAAAAAACCCACCCCAACAAAATGCCTCCCCTTTTTCTGTATCTTGCTCCCTTGATGTCATTCTCTATCCTCCCTCTCCTTCACAAACCAGCTTCTTAAAATCGTATTCTGCTTTCATCCCTCATTCATCTTTTCCTCTCCCCACTGCTGTCAGGATTCTTTCCCCACCATCACCCTGAAGTTGCCTTTGCTGCGGGTAATAGTCACCTCCTAATTGCTAAATCCAGTGACTTCAGCCTTAACTTTACCTCTCTGTGGCATTTGACTCTGATGACCAGTCCCTCTGGAAACTCTTTCCTCCCTTGGGCTCTGTGACACCTGCTTTCCTGAGTTTTCTTCTGCACCCTCCCGCACCTCTGCTGTGTCTGCTCAGCTTCTTTTGTTTTGTTTTAAAGATTTTATTTATTTGACAGAGAGAGACACAGCAAGAGAGGGAACACAAGCAGGGGGAGTGGGAGAGGGAGAAGCAGGCTTCCCGCCGAGCAGGGAGCCTGATGCGGGGCTCGATCCCAGGACCCTGGGACCATGACCTGAGCCGAAGGCAGACGCTTAAGGACTGAGCCACTCAGGCGCCCCTGCTCAGCTTCTTTTGATAACTCCGGTTTCTCAGACCATCCCTTACATAAGAATGTTACCCGCTATTCTTGACCTTCTCATTTTCCTTAGCCACGTACCTTATATATATATATTCAGTTAAAAATCACATATATATTCAATGGCCGCAAAACTCACAAAAAATATCAATGAATCTCAAGTCTCCCTGTCTAGCCCGGGGCTATCCCTTGAGCTCCCGTCAGGGAAGAGTGATCATCTGCTGGACTTCTGTGCTTGGCTGCCCCTCAAACACTTCAAACTCCACAGGATCAAAACGGAATGTGCTGTCATTTTCCTGATCCCGACCCACTATGGCTCTTTGCTAGTGAGACTCACCAGACTTCTGACATCATTGCTGGAGTCATCGGGGACTCCCTTTTTATCAGCTTCCACATTTGATTGATCACCACGTCTTCCTGACTCTATTAATGTATAAGTAACCCGGATGTACCTGACTCACCTGAAGTACAATCTTTGCCCAATATAGCATTCAATAAGAAAAAAATTGGAAAAGTAATGGAAATCATTATTGTAGTCTACCCCCAATTCCAAAGGGTGATTACATAGTATGACACGTGGCAAAAGGGTCTAAAAGCCTCCTCACTTACCCATTTCCTCAAAAAATCTACTTTTCACAGCATCGTAGCTGTGTGATTTCACTCAAAAGTCTCTCAAAACAAAGCCTCAAATCCCTACTTAGAAGGCTGGAGGAGGGTTGAAGCCTGCAAGTACTCACGTAGGACTGTATTTTTTATTCTGCCGCATGTATTTTTTTTAATTTGTGGATTATCCCTATGTATATTACTTGACTCTTTTTCTCCCTTACAACTTTGTTGCTGCTATAATATGTTCAGTTCCTAATCATTGTTTATTTTTCTCTATTCAAATAACTTTTTATTTTCTTATTTGTCTCTACCCTCTCCTCTCGCCAATTCATCTTCCATGTGACTACTAGATTCATCTCTAAAAATCAGATTTGTTTATTTTATCGTGTTGCTTAAAAGCTTTAGTAGCTCCCATAACCTGAAAGGTGGAGTTTAGGCACCTGGGTGGCTCAGTCAAACATCTGACTCTTAATTTTGGCTCAGGTCATGATCCTGGGGTCATGAGATTGAGCACTGTGTGTGGCTCCATGCTCAGCAGGGAGTCTGCTTGGGGTTTTTTCTCTCCCTCTCCCTGTGCTCTTCCCCCTGCTTGCATGCATGCTCTCTCTCTAAAATAAATAAATAAAATCTTAAAAAACCCCCAACAACTCTCTAGCGCAGCATACAGGATCTCAAAGGTCAAGGATTAGGTACTACTACGTGTTTCTCTGTGCTGTCTCCTGTTTTTTTTTTTTTTTTTTAAGATTTTATTTATTTATTTGAGAGAGCGAGGGGGGAGGGTCAGAGGGAGAAGCAGACTCCCTGCTGAGCAGGGAACGCGATGTGGGACTCGATCCCGGGACTCCAGGATCATGACCTGAGCCGAAGGCAGTTGC